AGCATATGTCAAAGACATCAGATCTTTTTCTGTCATTCTTATTCATTATCCAGCTCTCAGATGCATAGGAAGTGATAAGAAAGACTATGGCCTAGATCAGATGCACCTTAGCTCCCAAAATGACATCATTACTCCTCAATAATTTGGAGAGGTCTTTTTCCAATGCAATGTGTCTCATTATTTCCTGACTGCTTGTACCAAGGGTATGAATCCAAGCAAGATGAAGCTACTGACAGTTTCAATCTCCTCTCCATCCATCATGACACTGCCAGTTTGTCCAGTGATAAAGATATTTGTTTTCTTGACATTGAGATGCAATCCACACTGAAGGCTGAATTCCTTGATCTTCTGTAACAAGTGCTTCAAGTCCTTCTCACTTCAGCAAACAAGGCAGTGTCATCTGCATTATGCAGGTTATTGATGAATCTCCCTCCAATCCTTATCCCACACTCCTCTTCACAGAGTCCAGTTTCTCAAATATTTTGCTCAGCATACAAAATCAATAGATATGGAGAGAGAATAGAACCCCTATACGCTCCCTTCTCAATTTTAAACAATATAGTGCTCCCCTGCTCTGTCTGCACAACAGCCTCTTGGTCCAGGTATAGGTTCCACATGAGCACAATTAAGTGCTCCAGTATTCTCATTCTTCTCAATGTCAGCCACAACTTGTTATGTTACACACAATCAAATGCCTTAATATAGTTAATAAAGTACTGACAGCCATTTTTCTGCTCAAATAATATAATTAATACTAAATACAAGCAAAATACTGCTGAAGATCATTCAAAAACAGCCAGAACAGTACATAGATAAGGAACTGCCAGAAGTCCAAGCAGGATTTAGAAGAAGCCATGGCACTAGGGACATCATTGCTGATATCAGATGGCTCCTGGCTGAAAATAAAGAACACCATGCACCTCTACTCTCCTCTGTGAGGTCACTATGATTTGGATCAAGTTTTGATTTATCAAGTGCCAGCCTCCAAGTCCTTTAAAGAAATTATCAAGTCCAAGTCCTTTAAAGAAATTATTCTATTTAATCTTCAAAACAAGTTTTCAAAGGGGATAGATTGCTCTCTTTAATGTGGTAAATCCTTATTTACCACATTCAAGAAAAATAAACAAGGAGTAAAGAACATGATTAAGGTTACAAAGTCATTAACAGTACAGCTGGAAATTTAACAGAACAGCAAGCAACAAATGCTGGCGAGGTTGTGGAGAAACTGGAACCCTTATTCACTATTGGTGGGAGTGTAAAATGGTGCAACCACTATGGAAGGCAGTGTGGCGCTTTCTCAAAAAGTTACAAATAGAGATACCATTTGACTCAGCAACTCCACTACTGGGAATATACCCCAAAGAGACCATAACTGCTACCCAAGCAGATATATGCACACCCATGTTTATCACAGCTTTGTTCACAATAACAAGGAGTTGGAAACACCCTAAATGCCCATCAACAAACGCATGAATAGAGAAGCTGTGGTATATTCACACAATGGAATACTACACTGCATTGAAAAACAAGGAACTCATGCAGTTTTATTCAAAATGGCTGACCCTGGAGGACATTATGCTTAGTGAAATATCTCAGTCACAAAAGGACAAATACTGCATAGAGCCACTGTTGTAAAACAGGACTGACGTCATGGTTGGGGGGAGACTGAGAAAGATGGGATAAATAATGTATACTGCATTGAAACAGATGAGGGAGAGAACTGTTTAAAAGAAATATGTGATTAGGTATTATTGTCATGACTGGAGTACAGAGTGAAGGCTGCATAGTGGAGTGGACCTGGGGGGGATGGATTGTAAAGCAATGGGGGAGTTTCTCTGTTACTTTTCAAAGAGAAGGGGGGTAGGGGTGGGCAGAAGAAAGGTGCAACAATGAGTGAATGGAAATCCGGGGTCTCTGTACATTTTCATTAAAATTAATAATAAAAAAATTTTTAAAATGGAAAATAAATATTATTGGTGAATACATTTTTTAAAAAAAGGGTATAGCTGGGGTCCCAGAGTTGTCAAATGGTTAATGTTCTTAGCTACTAACAGAAAAGTTCGAGGTTTGAGTTCATCCAGAGGCTCCTTGGAAGGAAAACCTGGCCTATTTATAGAAACCAGACAGTGAAAACCCCACAGAGCATAGATCTCCTGTAAAAGCAAAGGTCACCACGAGCGGAAGTTGGCTGTGCAGCTAACAACGTTAATTTGCATTCTAGCCCATCAACTTCAGAGTACAGCTCACAGAAGACCCTGCAGGAACAGGTTATGCAAGGTTTTAAAGAAAAGGGATGTCTCTTATGTTCTTAATCAGTAAGACTTGAAAATTACAAGGAAATTATATAATATTTATTTAGTGAGAATCTTCTGAGTCCCAGTAACTCCATAAGGTTGTTGTTGGTCGGGGGTTTTTTTAATCTTAATATAACAAACTATGCTTTGATACTGAAGAAAGTTTATGTTTATTTATGCTCTTTTTAGAGCCACTGAAATATTCCATAATGCTTCTGTTTTAAAGAAATCTATCATCTGTTTGTTGGCAGGTAGGTGCAGTTGGATAGAGGATGACTCATGGTAATCCTATGAACAGTGTATTTGAACCCTTTTCTGTCCTGTACTAACCTCACACGCTTGAGCCCATTGCTGAAATCACTGTGTCAGTCCACCTAACTGAGGGTCTTCCTCTCCTTTACCATCCTTCCACATTTCCAAGAATGATGTCCTCTAGGGAGGACAGTCCTCTTCTTCAACACCACAACTCAAAAACATCAATTTGTCTTGTCATTTCTTATTCATTATCTAGCTCTCAGATGCATAGAAAGTGACTGAAAAAACCAGGTCAGAATCAGGTGCACCTTAGTCCTCAAAATGACATTACTGCTCCTCAATCATTAGGCGAGGTCCTAACTGGAGACTTTCTGAGTGCAATACATCTCTTCCTTCATCTCTTTACTGCTGGTAACAAGCTGATATGGCCTAAAGTAAGATGAAGTTGTTGGCAGTTTCAATCTTTTTTCTATCTATCATGATGTTGCCTATTGGTCTAGTGGCAAACAATTTTGTTTTCTTGATGTTAAGATGCAATATTTTGTAATAAAGCCATCATATAATTAGTCTAAATTGTAAAACTTAAAACTCAAAGCTGGTCCATTTCATGTTCAATTACATGCTATTCTTACCAAAGGAAACCCCTCAACTTTTTAGATTCTTAAAAACCCTCCCAGATTAATGAGTAGAATAATGAGTTAGTCAGGGTTAAGTGAAAACAAATGCCCACCACAATATGCACACAATAAATGTTTCTAGCATGATGAAATAAGCCACAGATGAAGTACATAATTGTCAATGAAATTTGTGTCACTTTTCATTCCAAAATAATTTGAAACTTAGAGGAAAGTTTGCAAGTCATATACAAACATTCTTATAAAATTCCTATACGTATTTAGCCAAACTGGCTATCTGTTAACATCTTACCCACGTGCTATTAACCAAATTGGCTGTTAACATCTTACCCATTTGCTATCTTATCAGTTTCATTTTATACTTAACATTATAAATACAGTGCTTACCAAAAGTACTTTTCAACAAAAACATATAATTAATCAACATAAAGAAAATTATCTGAATGCAAGGTAAAGGGAACACCCTTTGTTGCCAGGGTCAATAAGCCTAAATCCAATTCACACCTTCTCCATTGGAAGGATCATTGGATTTAGTCAGATCTGAAGCCCACACACAATCCTTGGAGATGAGCAATGACCATAGTGATGCACATTTTAACATGTGTTTTTTTTCTTTGCTATGAACATTGGGTATAAATCTCCATCGCAAGAACATGAAAACAGCCCAAATGTCCAACCAAAACAGAATGGATTGAGAAATTGTGATACATTCACACAATGGAATACGATGCAGCACTCAGGAGCAACGATTTAGAAAAACACTATGTAACTTGGGAGAGACTAAGAGCATTATGCTGAGTGAACTGATGCAGTCTCATGAGGACAAGTACTGCATAAAACCATTATTGTAAAACACAGAAGGATAACTAGTAAAAACACGTACAGGAACTCAATGGGGGGGAGTGGGGAGTGAAGGGTGAAGGAGTAAGGATAGGTAGGGGTGAAACCACAGGGCTGCACGGTGTGGTAGGTGAAGTAAGGGGAAGGGAGTAAATGGGAAGGATTCTGGAGAAAAAAAGTAATGATAGACAAGATCCAATGGTGATTGATTTATTAAAAAAAGATTGAGAATGATTGTATGAAACACAATGCGAATGAAGAATAGTGTGAAACACAATGTATATAAACTTTGTAAGCACATCAATTTAAAAAATAATATTAAAAATGTATTTAATGCTCAAAGAATCATTCAGACTGCAAAAACATGTTATACTTGTTCACACAAAAAAAAATATTTTCTACAAAAAAATAAAAAAAAATATATAACAAATGAAAAGAAACCATTTTACCCAAAAAAGTAGTCAAATCAATAGTCAATTTTTTAAACTGTCCAGTGCTAACAACCAAGAACTCTATTGTAATCTTAATCTCTTTGTCTTAATAATTACAAAGTGATTCATTTTGATTATTCATTATTTCTCAGAACAAGCTAGGAAAGGCCTAAAGAATTTCAAAGCCTTCTATCTTTGATGCTGCAGATACTCCAACAGTAACATTCTTGTGCCTTCCTGGTGAGTATGTGCTTACTTCTTTATACTAGAAGGAACTATCTGGTTGTGATTGGTTCATGTGGTGCTCAGATTGTAAAATGAAGGGCTTAAAAAAATCTGGCTCAGGTTCAAGAACACCTAGATATACTGCCTCCTTTGAGTAAACAGTCTTCCCCAAAAGTAGTGATCACTTCCTCCTGGAGAGGTTAATTACTCAGATACATTTCTCCGCTTCCTTGAGTTCTCCCTTGATTTCCTTCTTCTCCAGACATTGCTTTAGAAGTGCTTTACTTCCTGTGTCCATTGAAAATACAACCAGGATTCCCTCAGTAAATATCCATCAGGGAAGTCACACGAAACGATTGTTCCAATTCTCTCTTGCTGGTGGGCTTCCACGGGTAAAAGAACACAGTTCGTTTCTTCTCGGTCATGAGGAAGCCATTGTCACTAAATCTCCCTGAGATACTACCCACATCCAACCAAACAAAGAGAGCCACAGCTGAGGTTTCCAGAGAAAAAACAAACATGTCACCTTGCTGAGAGATGAGGACCTGAAAGAAAAAGAGAACAAAGCCGAGGATGAAGGAAGAGCCATTGCTTTTCCAAATGTCTATCAGAACACTTAGACACAATTTGCATCCATGGGTGACAAAAATCGTTCAATGCTCAACCTGAAAGATGGGCAGCTTGAATCCACCTAAACCTGCCTCAGAAGACAAGGTAGTAAGACTATCTTGTTCCTACTAAGGAGATCTGGTGGTGTAGGGAGGTGTGCAGCTAATCCACCGAGCCTCTGCCAGTGCGAATCCTTCAGAAGTTCTGTGTACAAAACCGGGCAAACTAGACCCATGCAATTTTACAGACTCCAAAACATCAAAGAAGCGTCGGCTATAGGTCAGGCTCAACTCAGCAGCAATGATAGAGAGTGCGTTTTTCTACGAGGCTGCAGTGGCAGCTTGGCCCTAAGTCACATGATCAGATAACCATGAGTCTGTTTCTGGAGTCTGTTTTGTCCCATTGAGGAAGGTGACATTATCTTAACTGCTAAATTTTTACAGTAAGTGTAGGAGTCCTTAGGTGGTACAAGAGAAAGAGTGGCTAGATGCTTCTGTGAATATTTACAGCATTGCCAACCCTTGGCTTTCTATTCTGTCTGAAAGAGTTGTTATGACTTGGAATCGACAACAGCTGGATTTGAATTTGTGTGCTGTAAATGATTAAGTGTTTGACTACTAAAGGAAAGATTAGCAGTGTGAACCTACTCAAACATGCCTCAGAAGAAAAACCTGGCAATTGGCTTCCTAACTAACAAACTCACTGCTGTCAATTTGGAATTGACTCATCCCTGATCCTCCAGGGGGTTTTCAGAGAAAATAAATCATATGAGAGGAGACTGTCCAGTTTCCTCCCACAGAGCAGTTGGTAGATGCCAAACACTGGCCTTGAGGTTGGCAGTGCAACTCCTTACCCGCTAGACCACACCAGAGCTCCCTAATCTGCTTCCAAACAGTCATAACCTTGAAAACCCTATGGAGCAGTTCTACTTGACAATGCGTGAGGTCACGCTGAGTTGGAACAGAATCAAAAGCAATGGGTTCGTCTCTGGCAGAACATTTCCGTAGGCCCAACAAGCAGCACATTCTGTGCAACACTGTGCTAAAGTCATATATTCTGTGTGCTCCGTGCAGTCTGTGCACTGTTTCAGACATTTGAAAGTACATGAGAAGTTACTTAAGACTGTGGAAAATTACCAGATTGCAATCTCAAACCAAGGAAACACATAGTCTCCAATTATTAAGGGGGATATTTCACAAGACACTTAAAGTTTATGTCTTAAAACCTTCTTCACAGTATCATCAGGACAGGAACATTTTTACATAAAGGCTGCTTGGGTTAACTGACTTTCAAAGGATGTATCTGGACCTTGCTGCAGAGGAGAATTATGAGGTTTACATTCTAGCTTTCTGGCATGATCCCGTAATCTAGAAAGACACCAGCCACCCATGTATGCAAACTCCATGGTGAACGCTTTGTCTCTTCTATTTCATAAAATAGTAAAGGCATATTATTAGCACCTACAGTTTGTGCAAATTCCATATAATCTAAATTAAAGAGAGAGAGAGGGAGAAAGAGAGACAGACACAGACTCTGTTTAAATGGAGCAGGCTACTCAATTAGCAAATTTGCCCAGGCCAGGAAGTGCTGCTCCACAGAGGGCAGTCATTCAGGCACCTCTTCAGTGTGGACATCCAGCCCCACTTAATATTTAAAGGTGGCCTGCATCATGGCTTGTCCGCATGCATACCTGCCATTCTTACTAATATTATGCTGTGTGACATAACAAACTTCAAAGGGCAATTTATACTATACATAATTCTAGTCTGTCACATTTTTATGACCATCAGTCATAAAATAATGAGGGCTACTTTGGAGAAAGAGAGACTTAATAAAATATGCTGGGTATCTCTGAGAAGGTCAGATTCGAAGCTAGATGCCAGGAACAGCAACCAAATTACCACAATACACACATAGCTGTTCAGATGAAGTACCTAAGAGTCTTTGCCTTGGGGACTTCACTCATTCATTCCTTTTGAGTCAGGACCAACTCATAGTTGATCCTCTATTGAGTTTCCAAGGCTGTAAACTACATGGGTTGTTTTTTGTTGTGTACTGTCAGAACACTTGATTGTGCTTATGCGAAACGTATACTTGGACAAAGAGGCAGTCGTCAGAACAGAGAAAGGAAACACTGCATGGCTCAAAATTGGGAAAAACGTATGCCAGGGATGGGTCCTATCTTCATACCTTTTCAATCTATATGCAAAACAGATCATCCAGGAGGTGGGGCTATATGAGAAGAAGTGTGGCATCAGGATTGGTGAAGGACTCATCAACAACCTATGTCGTGCAGATGACGCAATCCTACTTGCTGAAACTGAGGAGGACCTGAAGTGCTTGCTGCAGAAGGACTGCAGTCTTCAGGACTGAAGCATCAAGAAAACAAAGATTCTCGCCACTGGGCCAACTGGCAGCATCAGTATGGATGGTGAAGAGATTGAGATTGTTAATAGCTTTAGTTTGCTTGGCTCCACAATCAACACTCTTGGTACCAGCAACCAGGAAATTAAAAGATGAATTGCACTGGGGAAATCTGCTGCCACAGACCTCTCAAAAGTACTGAAGAGCAACAGTGTCTCTCTGGAGACTAAGGTACGTGTGATCCAGCCATAGTCTTTGCAATTACTTTTTTATGCGTCAGAAAGCTGGACAATAAACTAGGAATGACAGGAGAATTGATGCCTTTGAGCTATGGTGCTGGAGAAGAGTATTGAATATACCATGGACTGCTAGGAGAACAAACAGGTTTGTCCAGGAGAGGGTGAAACCACGCTGCTTCTTAGAGGCAAGGATTCTGAAGATTCATCTGACTTACTTTGGACTTACTTACAGTCCTTGGAGAGGGATGACAGCTCAAGAGAGGAAGACCCTCAAAGAGATGGACTGACTCAGTGACTGTGTTGTAATGAGGGTATGTGTACCAGAGATAATAAGATTGGCACAGGATAGAGAATGGTTTAGGGCTGTTGTGCATAGGGTTGCTATGAGTGGCAAGCAATTCGACAGCACATAAATACAACAACAACAACAACAACTGTCTGGTTGGAACCAATTCATAGCAAGTTTGACTCTCCAGCAAGTTTTCAGAAGCAGCAAATTACATGGGAAGAGATTGTCCATCTGTCTCCCGCAGAGCAGACGGTGAATTCAAAACACATACTTTTGTACTGCCAGTGTAATTCCTTACCATTCAGCCCCCAGAGTTCCCTAAATCCTAGAGTATATTCTATCTGAAATTAGAGATCATTTCAAGGAACATTTGACTCATTCTACATGAATGACCCAAACCAGAAAAACAGTGGGGATGGCAAGGAGAGTATCTTACATGAGGAAAGCAAAAGTACATTCTGAAACACAGAAAAGCAAGCAATTACCAAAGTATATGTCAGGAAAAGATTCTAAAATTTGATCTTAAATATAGAGTACCTAAGGATTCTATGAACCTGGAGAAAGGACGGAAATTATACAGGTGTCCAGGAATTTCGTTCATAGGGTCGCTATGAGTTGCCTACGACTCGACAGCACTTACCAATAACAACAAGGATTCTATGGGCAAAATCTTAAATGATACAGGAAACATACACAGAATCAGTGTATCGAAAAGAAATGGTGGACACTGAACCATTTCAGGAAGGAGTATATGAGCAAGAACCAATGGTATTAAAGGAAGACATTCAGGTTTCACTGAAAGCAGTGGCAAGAAAAAAAAAACAACGCCCCAGGATTCGATGGGATGCCAATTAATGTATTTCAACAAACAGATGCAACCTTGGACTCACTAGTCTCTGCTAAGAAATATGGAAGTCAGTGACTTAGCCAACTGACTACAGAGATCCATCCATATTTGTTCCCATTCTCAAGCTAAGTGATCCAAAACAGAATGTGGAAATTTTCAAACAATATTCTTAACATCACATGCAATGTGATTAAAATTCTGCTGAAGAATATTTTAGATGATTGGAGTAGTACCTCTACAGGGAATTACCAGAAATACAAGCTGAATTCAGAAGAGGTCACAGAATGAGGAATATCACTGCTGATGTCAGATCATCTCGGCTGAAATGATAGAATACCAGGAAGATGTTTATTTGTGTTTTATTAGCTATGCAAAGACATTTGACTATGTAGATCACAGCAAATAATGGATAGTGTTGAGAAGAAAGAGAATCCAAGAATATTTATTTGTGCTCGTGTAAAACTTATATATAGAGTAAGGCAAAGTTGTCCGTAGAGAAAAAGGAAACACTGCTTGGTTTTTAAATCAGGAAAAATGTGTACCTCAAAGTTGAATCCTCTTCCCATACCTACTTGACCTGTATGTTGAGCAAACCATTTGAGACATTAGACTATATGAAGAAGAATATGGCATTAGGATTGGAGGAAGACTCATCAAAATCCTGGCTTATGCATATGACACAACTTAGCTTGCAGAAAGTAAAAAGGACTAGAAGCACTTGTTGCAGAAGATCAAAGACTACAGTCTCGAATATGGATTATATCTCAAAGTTAAAACCAAAAATTCTCACCTCTAGACCAATAGGCAACATCTTGACAGATGGAGAAAGATTGAAGTTATCAACTACTTCATCTTATTTATGTCCACAATCAACACTCAGGGTAACAGCAGTTAAGATATCAAAAACTGTGTTGTACTGAAAAAAAAATCTGCCTTCAAGAGCCTCTCTGAAGTACTACAGAGCAAGGACATCAGTTTAAAGATTAAGGTATGCTTCATGCAAGCCACGGGGTTGGTTTTTTTTTTTTCAATTGCTTCCTATGCATCTGAAATTTGGACAGTGGTTAAGGCTGAAGGAAAAGGAATCAATGCCTTCAAACTGTGGATTTGGAGAAGATGGTTGAATATTCCATTGACTGTCAAAAGAACAAACAGGTCTGTATTGGAGGAAGTGCAACCAGTGTGCTCCTTGGAGAT